GCTGAGATCTATTTTAGATTTGGGCACCGGGCTGGGATGAATTATTTGTGCCATATATTCTGGTTAGATTTTGTTGATAGGAAAAAAAAAGGAGCCATTAGGCCGTATAATTGGGGCCTTCAATCCAATGAAGTTTATTGTTGGTTCCGTAGTTTAATTGGACCTCGAGGGACCATAACTTTTCTGATATTGGGCCTAGATAATTTCGGCTCTCAATCCAATAAAGTAATACATTTATATCAGGCCTTTGGTCTAACGGAGAATCCCATAAGATTAAACTGGCTGGGCCCATGTTTTCGGCATATCTGGCCCATACAACTTGGGCCTTTAGTCCAATTAACTGTCGGCCCAAGCCCTTAAAGCCCAATAAGCCCAATGGGGCCCAAGTCTTCTAACCCAATAAGTTTAGAACGGCCCATATATTTTGGGCCTATGATCCAATCTTGAGGCCCATGACGTTTGTGCCTTTGGGCCCAAATATTAAGCAAAGGGTTTCAAGTGCAGTCAACTTTTGGGCTCGAGGCCCAAATCATTTTATATTGGGCCTTGAGGAACTGAAGTTGGCCATTGGGTCCCTACATTATGGGCCTTCAGTCCAATCCACAGGCCCATTATTTGACCCAAGTAATGGGCCCGTCCACTAATGTCAACTTTTGGGCTTTTAGCTTGGCCCAATTAGTTCCATAGTAAGCCGACATAGTTTGGGCATTCGGTTCAATGGTAATGCTGTTGGGCCTTTTAAACTTTACGTCCATGTTAGGTGAGTCTCGTGTACTTTTTAAATTGAGCTTTAAATCGAATAAACTAGTCGACACATAGATTACCCAAAAACAATTACATGTCGACTTGGCATAATATAAAAATTAATTAGTTTCGATCCAATGAATAGGCAACCAATAAAAGACATTAGCCGACCATTAATTAATTTTTAAAAATGTAACCTGAACCCAATTTTTTTTTCAATGATTCCGATTGAGCCTCGTAATTATTTTCGGGTTTAGGACACCCAGCCATGAAAGGACTCTTGATATGCAGTATTTGTTGTTAAAAAATGACCTTATTTAACGTGGTAGATCAGGACCATCTGAATATGAAAAACGAAAATGAAAGCAAGCAGATTATGACCATAAAAAATATATATATATATAAAAACAATTCGCAGACTGGGCTGATCGACCCGTAAGAAAATGGGATGTGAGCAACATGAGGGACGGAAAAAGGGCGAGAGAGGGAGAAGGCGAAGACGAAAGGGCGCCACCGCGCCAACACCTGTAAATTATCTGTAACCAGAAGAAAAAGACGAAATGAGACGCAAACAATGTGGATCTAATTATATGAAATAGTATTGAAATAGTATTTAATATACTGGAACCACGTTGATTAAATTTATTCCCAAAAAATTCGGCCACGAGCACCCACTAATATTTTCAACATCTTTATTTTTCGTTTTGGATTTTAACATTTAAGTCGTACATTGTGTTCTGTGGGCAACAATAGCGAAGCAAAAATTTATTTTGAGCATTAAGCAAATATGAAAGACAACTCTTTAAAGAATTATCCCATGCAGTGATCATTAGACACTGGTCTGTTATGCTTGTGTTCTCCAAGGCATAGTTTTGTTCTTAATAACTAACCATACTAAACTGTTCAACTATAAGATGACAAAGTGAAATACAGAAACAGCAGAAACCTTAGATGACTGAAGCTGAGGGGTGATCAATATATTTTTTATTCTGTTATAGATCTGTGCATGTCCAATTCCTAGATGCAATTGACTTGTACAATTTGCATTTCTATGAACTTTCCTAAAGAATCGTATCCATGGAAAAATAAAACTTTAATTTCAGCTCTTTGACCACTTTCACCTATTAATGCCAATTCTTCTGCTAAATACCATTTATACTTAATCAAGCCTATTATTTTTTTGGCCTGCAACATAGATTATCAAGCTTATAATGTGGAAGTATTAAAATATAATCAAGTATTATCAACAATCTAATCCTTGCTAAGGTATAAGGATTTTGAGCGAATGAATAATTTTTGGGATACAGGGTACATACTTTGCATGATGACAGAAGAGAGCAACTGTAAGGAATTTGCAAGTCCTGTGTCTTTGAAGAAGCTAGAGATCATCACCTTGAAATCCTAATAACATCATGTTGCAAGCTAAACAAAAGTACAAAAAATAAATATCAGGAAGACTTCAAGAAAGCACCATATTTATAAGCCCTTATATCCATTCCAATGCTGGAAAATTTTTAGTTCCACATCCATGATATATCTTTATTGAGAAAATAGACACTGGTGATGGTCACTTTAAATCCACATTATAGGCGAACATAATAGAGGAGTTCATTATAAAGGCAAGCGTGGAGAGGAAGGGGTGAATAGTTGGAATTCCGTTCTCACTTTAATTGCGTATTCTTTCTTCTTTTTTGGGCCAATCTTTAAATATCTCTATCAAACAGAATTAGATTGTGAAAGTATATTTTAGGTGCATAACAGCAATTTCAGCCACTGGACCTCTAGTATAAGGTGATCAAGTTTCGAAGAGAGATAATGAATTCGATACATAATATTTTACTCTCAAACTAGAAAATAGCCACCTGCGCTCGACCTAGATATGTGAACTATGATAGTGGTAACTTTGAAAGGTAATAATGCAGTGGAGAATTTTTTTACTCAGCATTTACAAGGAAAGAAGCCATCCATACCAGTCAAGCAATGCTAAAATTGGAAAGTCTCGAAAGGTACAACTCATCCAATGAAGAAGAAACCTGTGTTGTAATTAAGATTAGATTTAATCAAGCATCAAAATGAAAAAATATTTAAGCCAGCAGTTGGATAGAACCAAGTGACCAGAGTCCAATAGATGCATGAAACTATTGATCTTAATCTCAAGCAATAACTTGGTGCTAATTAAGGATAAACGTGTGCAATAATAAGAATAATTGGAAAGTAATTTTGGCTTGGGAATGGTAATGTCATAATGCAGTTTGAAAGTTAGGGACAGAAGCACCTTCTCCACCATAATCATATAGGAGTATCCATCTTCATAAACAGCATCTCTAGCGATTACAGATGCAGATCACCAGAGATTGCATATCCAAAAGAAGGATCTGCATGCAGAAAAATCCATAAACATCTGTCA